TCATACTGATTGTATTCTTGGTAGCACAGTAAGGCTGGAACTACATGAAGTTTTTCCTGTACTACTTCAGGCAAAACTTACTTCAGAAATTGGCTCTTGGCTGTGCTTGGATCACCAACAATGCAGACATTTATGTCCCCTCGAAGAGAGGTCCCTTCTCCTGTTGTCTTTGGAACACCACCAAAAAGCATCAGCAGGACACCACGTTTTACTTCATCATTGCCTAAAATGAAAAGTAGTTAGATAAAAAATTCATTTTTTTTGACATAAAGGCAAATATTCCAAAGAAAACTAAAAGCATTTACCAACCAAAGGGCGGAAACACCTGATGTTAAGCAAAACAGGTAAAACTACCTGGCTTCTGATCTTGGTTCTTGCTTTGTGGACTTATCTAGCCAATTGTTCCAATATCTTCTCATGTCTTAGGTGCCCCTGCTCACAATCCTAAGAGCCTTTCCTATCTCTTAACCCTTAAAGATCTCTATCCACAAATGAACTATGTCCATCACATTTACTAATTGTTTTTTGGTGGTGCTAGGGATTAAACCCAGAGCCTTGTGCATGCTGAGCAAGCACTCAACCACTGAGATACACCTCCAGTCCATTTGTTGGTTCTTTCTAATGGGAGCTCTTCAGTTCCATTAGGAGGTTTTGTTAATTTTTCATTTGTTCTTATTAGTTATACGTGACAGTAGAAAGTATCTTGACATATCATACATACATGGAGTATAACTTCCCACCCATTCTTGTGGTTGTACATAATGTGGAGTTATAATGGTCTTGTATTCATATATGAACAAAGGAAAGTAATGTCTGAGTCATTCTACTTTCTATTCCCATCCCTCCTTTCTTCCCCCCATTCCTCCCTGTCCACCCCACCCCTTCCACCTATTGTAAGTTAACAYYCACATATCAGAGAGAAAATTCGGTCTTTGATTTTTTGGGTCTGGCTTATCACTTAGCATGATAGTCTACAGTTCCATTCATTTACCAGCAAATGTCATAATTTCATTTTTCTTTATGGCTGAGTAATAGAAGAGCACCTATGATGGTTCCATAGCTTAGCTATCGTGAACTGAGCTGCTATAAATGATGTGGCTGCGTCACTGTAGTATGCTGATTTTAAGTCCTTTGGGTATATGCTGAGGAGTGAAACAACTGGGTCAAATGATGGTTCCTTTTCAAGTTTTCTGAGGAATCTCCATACTGCTTTCCAGAGTGGTTGCATCAATTTGCAATCCCACCAGCACTTTATGAGTGTACCTTTTTCCCCACATCTTCACTAACATTTATTGTTACTTGTATTCTAGATAGTTGCCATTCTGACTAGAGTGAGATGAAATCCCAGTGTAGTTTTAATTTGCATTTCTCTAATTGCTAGTGATGTTGAACATGTTTTCATATATTTAGAAGACCCCCAAAACTCCAGAAAACTTCTAGAACTCATAAATGAATTCAGCAAAGTAGCAGGATATAAAATTTACACCCCCCCAAAATCAACTGCATTCCTATACATCAGTGAAGAATCCACTGAAAGAGAAATTAAGAAAACTTTCCCATTCACAATAGCCTCAAAAATAAATAAAATCAATCTAATGAGAGGCGAAAGACCTCTACAATGAAAACTATGAAACACKAAAGAAAGAAATCTCCCATGTTCTTGGATAAGCAGAATTAATATTGTCAAAATGGCCACACTATCAAAAACTATACAATTTAATGCAATTCCTATTAAGGTTCTAATGATTTCTTCATAGAAA